TATTATTATTATTATTATTATTATTATTATTATTATTATTATTATTATTATTATTATTATTATTATTATTATTATTATTATTATTATTATTATTATTATTATTATTATTATTATTATTATTATTATTATTATTATTATTATTATTATTATTATTATTATTATTATTATTATTATTATTATTATTATTATTATTATTTTAATATATAATAAATTCTTTTATAGTATTTTTTTTTTTTTTAGTTTCTTTACTTTTGATTTTTTTTTATTAAAAATAAAATATTCGTTTTAATACTTACAAAATATTATAAAAAAAATTTTTTTAATATTATTACTTAAAATATATTTTTTTTTGCTAAAAATAAAATAAAAATTAAATATTTCTAAATTTATTAGAATAATATAATATTACAAATATTCAAATTAATTATAATTTTATTTAAATATTTTTTTGATAGTATGAACTACATAATACAATAATATATGTGTATTATATTATATTTCTAATTTATAAATTTAAGTATTAATAATAAATAATAATAAATAATAATAAATAATAATAAATAATAATAAATAATAATAAATAATAATAAATAATAATAAATAATAATAAATAATAATAAATAATAATAAATAATAATAAATAATAATAAATAATAATAATAATAATAATAATAATAATAATAATAATAATAATAAATAATAATAAATAATAATAAATAATAATAAATAATATATTATATAATATATTAAATAATATACCCTATTTCAAAAATATTTTTCGAAACAAAGCTAAAATAGCTCTGTTAGCTCAGTCGGTTAGAGCGTGGTGCTAATAACGCCAAGGTCGCAGGTTCGACCCCTGCACAGAGCATTTCATTTGCCCGGCTAGCTCAATCGGTAGAGCGTGAGACTCTTAATCTCAAGGTTGTGGGTTCGACCCCCACGTTGGGCGCTTTTTTATATTTTAATTTTTGTTTTTTGTTTTTGTTTTTAATAAAATAAAAATAAAAAAGAAAATAAAAATGCAAATAAATAAATGAAAATAAAAAAATAAATAAATAAATAAAAACAAAACAAAAAAAAAATAAAAATAAAATAAAAAATAAAAAAATTAAAAAAAAAAAAAAAAAAAATAACAATTTTTAAAAATTTCATATTGCATTTTAATATTAACTTTTTTTTTTTTTTGAGTTTTTTTTTTTTTTTTTTTTTTGAGTTTTTTAATATATAAAATTAAATGTATAATTGCATTTTTATAATAAAAATAAAGTAAAAACGACAGCAGCAGGACTTGAACCTGCGCAGGCAGAGCCTATGTGATTTCTAGTCACACTCCTTAACCACTCGGACATGCTGTCAAATAATGATTTCGCCCGGATTCGAACCGGGGACCGTCTGTGTGTTAGACAGACGTGATAACCGACTACACCACGAAATCAATCTGACAAAATTTTTCAAAATTTTCTATATTGTATAATAATTTACAATATAAAATATTTATAAATTATTTATAAAATTATCAATATCACTTCAATTAAATAGATATATTAATTGAATAGATATATTAATTAAATATATATTATATATTTATTAAATTAAATAATTATAATATATTTATTAATATATAATATAAATGTTTAAAAATAATTAAAAATTAAAATTTAGTATTTTAAGAAATTAAATAAACTTATTGGAAATAATTTTAATAAATAAATAACTGTTAATTTTATTTTAATTTATATATAATATTTAATATTAAAATAGCTTATAAAAACTTTTGAAGATAATGGAACAATCAAACAGAAAAACTAAAACTAAATTAAAAATAAGGTAAATTAAAATTTAATAACTAAACTTAAAGTATAAAATAAATAAATAAAATAAATAAAATATAAAATTTTCGCAATTTATAATATTTTAATATTAATTTAATTTTTTAACTTTTTTTTTTTTTTTTTTTTTTTTTTTTTTTTTTTCATTATAAAATAATAGTAATATATATATATATATATATATTTGTTATTTTCAAAACTAATTTAAGAATGAAATAAAATTAAAAATAATTATTTATTATTAATAATAAATATTAAATTAAGTACATTGAAATGCATATATATTAATTTATTAATATTATAAATTATATTTAGAAGTTTTGCTAAGATTATATTGAATCAAACAAATTCACTTTTAAGTATTACAATTAACTTGAAAAATATTATTTATTAAATAAAGACAAAAATGAAAAAAGAAAATTAAAAAATAAAAAAAAAAAGAAAAAATAAAAATATAAATAAAATAATACTAGATAAATAAAAATTTAAATAAGAAAAAAAAAATGAAAAGATATTAATAAATAACTTTAAACAATTAATTTAAATAATGTAAAGTTTAATTATATAAAATTTAAGAAAAAATGTAATAATTTAGTAATATTAATAATTTAATAATATTAATAATAAAATTAATAATCCTAACCTATTGAAAAATTTTGCACTACAAAGATATAATAAAAAAGCAAGAAATGAAAGTTTAAAACAACAAGATCCGCATTGGTCCAGTGGCTAGGATTCCACGCTTTCACCGTGGCGGCCGGGGTTCGATTCCCCGATGCGGAATTACTTTTGATCTTTTTTTTTCTAGATTTTGATTAAATTAAATTAAAATTTAAATACATATATAGTATTTACTAATAAAATTAAAATCGATTATGATTAATTGCACTATTTACTATTTATATTATTTAGTTAATAATTTTAGCATAGTATATATCATTGATAACATTATTATCATATAATGATAATTTAGTATTGGTAGAAAAGAAAATTTCAATTAAAAATTATTAACTTGGACAGATGGCCGAGTTGGTCTAAGGCGTCACGTTAAGGCCGTGATCTATTCGTAGGCGTGGGTTCGAATCCCACTCTGTTCACTTTTTTACTAAATTTTGGTATCAATATTTCGTTCTTTTTTTTTTTTATTTTTATTTTTTTATTTCTATTAATACAAATAATAAATAATTTAATGGTAATGATAAATTAAGATATAAAAATGTTATATATTATTTATAATTTATATTTTATTTATTTTTTATTTAGTTATAATAAAATATATATGTAAGCAATTTTTAAAGTATTAGACGAAATTTTAAAAATTCTTAAATTAATAATAAAAGTTATGATAATCAAAATTAATAAATAACGAAAAATTAAAAATATAAATAAATATTTTAAAAAAAAATAATAAAAACAAAGACATAAAATAATAATAGTAATGTATTTAAGTTTTAATTACAATATAAAGAAATGCGTATATCAATATATAATTATATAATAAATATTTTAATTAAAATTCATAAATAATATTAATACTTATAAATACAATATAGAAAATAGTAATATTTTCAATTATAAAAAATTTATCTATTTTTATAGCTATTTATAATTCATGATATTATATTTATATGTAAACCTATTAATTAATTTAATAAAAATATTTTAATTAAATTTCTGAAAAAAATTTTTTTTTTTAATATAATATATAAATTTATAAATTAAAGTACTTAATTATAATTTTTTATTTAAAATATAAATATTTATTAATGATATTATTAAACCATTAAATTGTATCCATTTTATGATATATATTAAAATATATTCTTTAAAAATCTAGAGTTTTATGTTTAACATATAATAAGTATATTTTATATTGGTTCTCTGGCATAATTTTACAAGATCCTTCGATAGCTCAGTTGGTAGAGCGGTTGACTGTAGAATTATATAGTAATCAACATGTCACTGGTTCGACTCCGGTTCGAAGGATTTAAAATTTAGCGACCTTAGCTCAGCTGGGAGAGCGTTAGACTGAAGATCTAAAGGTCCCGTGTTCAAGCCACGGAGGTCGCATTTTTATTTAATTTTTTAAATTTTTAATTTTTATGCGTTTTCAGTATTTATTCATTTAATAGTACTTTTATATATATTTATTTATTTATTAAATTTATTAATATTAAAAATAATATGAAATTAAAAAAAAAAAAATTAAAGGTTAATATTATTATTAATTTTAATAATGTTTAATATTTTAATGAAAATTTATTATCAAAATTCAGATTTCTAATAATTATTAAATTAAAATTATTATCAAATTGTCAAGAAATTTTTTATATATAAATATGAAATTAGTAAAATAATTACTATTATTTAATGTTAATCTATATTGAATTTATACTTTTCAAACTTATATAAATAAAGTGATTTTGGCCGTTCTCGTATAGTGGTTTAGTATAAGTCGTTGTGGCCGACTCGACCCAGGTTCGAATCCTGGGAACGGCACTTTTTAGGTTTTTTCTTTTTTTTTGTTTCTTTAATGAATATGTCAAATAGAAATAGTTTAAAATATTTATTTACTTAATTATACAATTTTTAGATATATTATTTATTATAGAATATATAGAATACATAAAATATATAATATATATAATATATATAATATATATAATATATATAATATATATAATATATTATTTATTATGTGAAATTTAAGTATTAATTATTAACATTATTTATTTGCTTATTTTATATTAGACTTTTCTTTTATATAATTAATTAAAAATAAATACATTATTAAAAGTAATAAAAATTATAAAAATTAAATACAATCTTAAAAGTAATAAAAATTACAAAAATTAAATACAATCTTAAAAGTAATAAAAATTATAAAAATTACAATTTTAATTTATTTAGATAAAAAATTAAATAGATAAAAACAACTTATACCAAAATTAAATAATAAAAATAATAATAATATTAATAACAATTATAATAATATTTATAACAATAATAACAATAATAGTGATAGTAATAATAATAATGATAATATGAAAGTAATGATAATAATGATAATAATGATAATAATGATAATAATAACAATAATAATAATAATAAAATTATAAATTTACTTCGTACCACAAGTATAGACAACATAGAAATATTATCAAAGAAGGGGAATTAGCTCAAATGGTAGAGCGCTCGCTTAGCATGCGAGAGGCACCGGGATCGACGCCCGGATTCTCCATTTTGAACCTTATTTTTTTTATTTAAATTAATAATTATAGGTTAGTAAAATATAAAATAAATTATTTTATTCATTTTAATATAATGGTATAATAATTTACTACGTAAAAGACAACATTTAATAATTATTTTACTTTAATAAATAATATAGTCAATAGCAATACAATATTTTTATTTTTTATTTTTTATTTTTATTTTTATTTTTATTTTTATTTTTATTTTTATTTTTAATATTAATATTTTTTTATTTTTTTTATATTTTTTATATTTTTATATAAATCTTTTTTATCTCATAAAATACAACGAATAATAATAAATTATTTATTAATTCAATGATAAATATATTTAATTTAAAAAAAAAAAAAAAAAAAAAAAAAAAAAAAAAAAAAAAAAAAAAAAAAAAAAAAAATTATGCTAATTTAGTGCTTTAAATTGTAAAAAATTAATAAATACAATATTATTTTATGAAAATAATAAAAAAGAAACGCTCCTAGGTGGGCTTGAACCACCAACCTCTCGGTTAACAGCCGAACGCGCTAGCCAATTGCGCCATAAGAGCTACGCCCTATGGGGGGCTCGAACCCCCGACCTTGCGGTTAAAAGCCGCACGCTCTACCAACTGAGCTAACAGGGCTACGCTTTCTGGCTTTGTTTTTTCCTGCTTTAAATTTTTTTTTTTTTTTTTTTTTTTTTTTTTTTTCGTTATATTACTTAATAATTTTTGGAAATTCTTATGATAAAAAAAAATTTTATATATATATATTATTTATTATTTTTTGTTTTTAAATTTTCTTAAATAAGAAAATATATTAATTTATTTAAATATATTGTTTAAGTTTAAAATTTGATAATTCATAATAATTAATATCTATTTTAAGATATTAGTAAATTTTAATATCAAAATAAATATTAATATCAAAATAAATATTAATATTAAAATAAACATTAGACAAATTAATTTTAAATTAAAAATAATTCATTGTATTAAAATTTTAAATGTTATAAAATTATAGTTATCATATTAAATATTTTCAATTAATAACAATATACAATTTATTTATTTAATATTTCATTAATATATATATATTTATATATAATAAGAAAAATATTATATATATATGTAATTTATAAAAATAAAAATATATATATTATATAGTTCAAATTTAAAATTTAATTTATGAAACTAGTGGTTAGTCATAACTTATTATTTATTATATATATAAATATTGATTTATCATTAAAACATATATATATATTAAAAAGTAGTTTAATTAAAATATATATTATATATATATATTAAAAGTAGTTTAATTAAAATATATATTATATATATATATTAAAAGTAGTTTAATTAAAATATATATATATATATATATATACATTAAAAAGTAGTTTAATTAAAATATTTATATATACTTAGGCTATTTGATTAAAAGAATACTACCAAAAAATATCGCCCAACGTGGGGGTCGAACCCACAACCTTGAGATTAAGAGTCTCACGCTCTACCGATTGAGCTAGCCGGGCAATTTTACATTCAGTTTGCTCTGTGCAGGGGTCGAACCTGCGACCTTGGCGTTATTAGCACCACGCTCTAACCGACTGAGCTAACAGAGCTTGCCTATGATTAAAATTAAGAATAAATCTTGTACTACTAAAAATCAAATGGTTATAAAATAATTTTTGTTTTTATGTAGTATTTATGAAAAAAATTTTTAAAAATAAATTTATAAATAATTATGGAGATAAAAATTAAATTTATGAATTATTATTCAACTGAAAATGAAATAATTAATTAACAATTAAATATCATTTAAACTCGAATACAATATATTAAAAATAAAAATAAAAATAAAAATAAAAATAAAAATAAAAATAAAAATAAAAATAAAAATAAAAATAAAAATAAAAATAAAAATAAAAATAAAAATAAAAATAAAAATAAAAATAAAAATAAAATAAAATAATAAATAAAATAATAAATAAAATAATAAATAAAATAATAAATAAAATAATAAATAAAATAAAAGAAAGCAATAAAAATAAAAATAAAAAAAAGTCAAAAGCAAATAATTAAAATGAATTATACATTTTTGATTATATAATATTAAATAATTGAATAATATAATATTTATTTTAATTTCAATATTATAGTATGTTTTATTGATTAATTCTTAATATTTATAAATATTATATATTTAATTTATATATATTTATATATATTTATTAAAATAATAAAAATAAAAAATTAAGTTTTCATAAAAATCTTTATCTTTAAAATTAAGTACAAAATACAATTAAATTTAAGTACAAAATACAATTAAATAAGTATAACATGATTTAAATGTTGAAATAAATTTATATTGAATATATTTTATTTAATGAAATTCTAAATTCTAATTAAATGCTTTAATTACATGATCATACTTTAAAATTCGGTGACATAGTGTATATGACAAAATAAGATCAAAAAATAATTAAAGCCATCCCAGGTAGTATAGTGGTGAGTATCCCCGCCTGTCACGCGGGAGACCGGGGTTCAATTCCCCGCCTGGGAGTAAGCCTTTTTCATTTTTTTTATTAACAATATAATTTTATTTTTATTAGAATATTTTCTTTTTTTTTTTTTTACAAAAAATATTATTATTATTAAATGCTAAAAAACTAAAGATAAAGATAAAAATAAAAGTTAATATATTAATATTTAGTAATTTTTAAAATTGTTAAAATTGTTAAAAATTGTTAAAAATATAATTAAAAATTAGGTCCTATCGAGATTTGAACTCGAGTTATTGGATTCAAAGTCCAATGTGCTAACCGCTACACTATAGAACCATATTTAGTAAATTATTAAATATATAATATTCTTGTATACCTTACAATTTAATATAATTGATAAGTGTTTAAATTTATTATTAATATATGATTTTAAGATAGTATTTATTCCTTTATTTGTATTAATTAATTATATTTTAGATATTTATTTATATTTATATATATTTATTATTTAAATTATAAAATATTGCTAAAATTATGAATAAAATTAATATTTTAATACATTTATTACTTTTTTTCAAAATATTTTTGCTTCGCTCTTTTATTTAAATTCTGATACTAATTATCAGTAGATTTTAAAAATGAATTTATAAAAGTAATAACTATTATAAAAAGTCAAAATTAAAAAAGAGGGGCTCATCCGGGAATTGAACCCGGGACCTCTCGCACCCAAAGCGAGAATCATACTACTAGACCAATGAGCCTTATCTTGTTTTTAAATTTATTTTTAAACAACTAACAACCCCATAAAAATATAGAAAATAAAATTTAGTTTGATTTTATCATTTGGTATTTTTAAATTAATATCAAATATACAATTTAAAGTTAAAATGAAATTTTGATTTAAATTAAAAAAATTAGTAATATTTAAGTTTAAAATATATTATATAATAATTATAAATATATATATATATATTTATATTTATTATTTTATTTATTTTAATTTTTATTTTAAAAATGTATATGTTAACTTTAATAATTGCGTAATTAATTATTTATTTATTTAAATATTAGTGTGAAAATCATTTAATTCATAATAGATAAAAAAAAAAAAAAAAAAAAAAAAAAAAAAAATATCGTAATAAATAATAATTCCTTGTATAGAACATAAATTAAAACTGTAAATAATTTAATTAAATGTGAAAGTTAAAACATTATAAATAATTTAATTAAATGTAAAAGTTAAAATATTATAAGATGAAATTCAACTTTTCTAATTTTGTAAATTAACATATACACTGATGAAATGCAATAATTATTAAAAATTTAATTTATATATTACTTTTTGAAATTAAAAAAAAAAAAAATAAAATAAAATAAAAATAATGCCTTCAATCGGAATCGAACCGATGACCTTCCCCTTACTAGGGGGATGCTCTGCCGACTGAGCCATGAAGGCAAATGCATTGACCGGGAATCGAACCCGGGTCTACCGCGTGGCAGGCGGTAATTATACCACTAAACCATCAATGCCTTAGTTGTTTTTTCCGAATTCTGTTGAAAAGAAAGACTTATCCTAAGTACATATAATATATATCAATAACATAATTATTTCAACATTATTTTTAGTTACAGATTTTTATTTTATTATATATTTTATTTATTTACTATTTTATTCATTATTCATACTTAGTAATGCTATTATATTTGATCTTTTATTAAAATTATATAATAATAATTATTTAAAAATAAATATTTTTTATTTATGCTTTAGAAAATCATTGGCATTCTTATAAATATAAATATAAATATAAATATTTTTTATTATTACATTTTATTATAATTAATTTATTTTATAGATATTTCAAATTATAAGATTATAAGATTATAAGATTAATTATAAAATTTAAAACTGAAAAAGCATAAATAAATAAATACATATATATTATTATTATTATTATTATTATTATTATTATTATTATTATTATTATTAAAAGTTTACTTATAATCTTTATTAATAATATTATACTATATCATTAAACATAATTTATCCATATACTTAATATAATTATATTTATTATAACATTAATAATTAATTTTATTATTATTTGTTCGTTTAGACATATATCAATTTATTTTTCCATTAATAGTACCATAAAATTATAATATGCTATAGATTAATTTTTTAAATTAAAAAAATAATTAAATGAAAAGAAACTGATCTTAAAAATAAATTAAAAAGAAAATAAACTTATATTTAGCCAAGATGGCCGAGTCGGTCTAAGGCGCCGCACTTAAGATGCGGTCTCGAAAGAGGCGTGAGTTCGAACCTCACTCTTGGCAGTTCTTTTTATTGCTAAAGCTAAATATATTTATATGTATTGTACATTTTAGTTCTTTTATTTTTACGAAACGAAAATATTTTGAGAAACGAAAAATTAATATTTGCTATAATAATTAAATTAAAAATATTAAATTTTTTCTTTTTTTTTAGCATTTTTAATTTATATCTAGAAAATGATGTAAAAAAAATGATTTCGCCCGGATTCGAACCGGGGACCGTCTGTGTGTTAGACAGACGTGATAACCGACTACACCACGAAATCAAAACGAGCTATGCAGGACTTGAACCTGCGACCTCTTGATCCGTAGTCAAGCGTTCTATCCAACTGAACTAACAGCCCGCATTTAAAAATTTTAATATTCCTGTTTTATTTTCCTTAGATCCTTTTAGGCTTTCAGACAATAGATAGTAATTAAAGTATTTTACCCATAGTAAAATATTTCCATCATTAATATATAATATTTTAGAATATTTTAGAATATTTTAGAATATTTTAGAATATTTTAGAACATTGATATAATTTAAAATTATATTTAAATTTAGTATGAAATTATTAATCACAATATTTAATATTAAATAATAATATTACAATATAATTTATAAAATCCTAGTCTTTGACTAGTTTAGATTTTAATTTTAATATTTCGTATTAATTATTAATTAATTAATAATTATTTATCAACTGCTTTGATATAGATTAATAAAATTTAATAATAATATTTATTTATTTATTTATTATTATTATTATTATTATTATTATTATTATTATTATTATTATTATTATTATTATTATTATTATTATTATTATTATTATTATTATTATTATTATTATTATTATTATTATTATTATTATTATTATTATTATTATTATTATTATTATTATTATTATTATTATTATTATTATTATTATTATTATTATTATTATTATTATTATTATTATTATTATTATTATTATTATTATTATTATTATTATTATTATTATTATTATTATTATTATTATTATTATTATTATTATTATTATTATTATTATTATTATTATTATTATTATTATTATTATTATTATTATTATTATTATTATTATTATTATTATTATTATTATTATTATTATTATTATTATTATTATTATTATTATTATTATTATTATTATTATTATTATTATTATTATTATTATTATTATTATTATTATTATTATTATTATTATTATTATTATTATTATTATTATTATTATTATTATTATTATTATTATTATTATTATTATTATTATTATTATTATTATTATTATTATTATTTTAATATATAATAAATTCTTTTATAGTATTTTTTTTTTTTTTTAGTTTCTTTACTTTTGATTTTTTTTTATTAAAAATAAAATATTCGTTTTAATACTTACAAAATATTATAAAAAAAATTTTTTTAATATTATTACTTAAAATATATTTTTTTTTGCTAAAAATAAAATAAAAATTAAATATTTCTAAATTTATTAGAATAATATAATATTACAAATATTCAAATTAATTATAATTTTATTTAAATATTTTTTTGATAGTATGAACTACATAATACAATAATATATGTGTATTATATTATATTTCTAATTTATAAATTTAAGTATTAATAATAAATAATAATAAATAATAATAAATAATAATAAATAATAATAAATAATAATAAATAATAATAAATAATAATAAATAATAATAAATAATAATAAATAATAATAAATAATAATAAATAATAATAAATAATAATAATAATAATAATAATAATAATAATAATAATAATAATAAATAATAATAAATAATAATAAATAATAATAAATAATATATTATATAATATATTAAATAATATACCCTATTTCAAAAATATTTTTCGAAACAAAGCTAAAATAGCTCTGTTAGCTCAGTCGGTTAGAGCGTGGTGCTAATAACGCCAAGGTCGCAGGTTCGACCCCTGCACAGAGCATTTCATTTGCCCGGCTAGCTCAATCGGTAGAGCGTGAGACTCTTAATCTCAAGGTTGTGGGTTCGACCCCCACGTTGGGCGCTTTTTTATATTTTAATTTTTGTTTTTTGTTTTTGTTTTTAATAAAATAAAAATAAAAAAGAAAATAAAAATGCAAATAAATAAATGAAAATAAAAAAATAAATAAATAAATAAAAACAAAACAAAAAAAAAATAAAAATAAAATAAAAAATAAAAAAATTAAAAAAAAAAAAAAAAAAAATAACAATTTTTAAAAATTTCATATTGCATTTTAATATTAACTTTTTTTTTTTTTTGAGTTTTTTTTTTTTTTTTTTTTTTGAGTTTTTTAATATATAAAATTAAATGTATAATTGCATTTTTATAATAAAAATAAAGTAAAAACGACAGCAGCAGGACTTGAACCTGCGCAGGCAGAGCCTATGTGATTTCTAGTCACACTCCTTAACCACTCGGACATGCTGTCAAATAATGATTTCGCCCGGATTCGAACCGGGGACCGTCTGTGTGTTAGACAGACGTGATAACCGACTACACCACGAAATCAATCTGACAAAATTTTTCAAAATTTTCTATATTGTATAATAATTTACAATATAAAATATTTATAAATTATTTATAAAATTATCAATATCACTTCAATTAAATAGATATATTAATTGAATAGATATATTAATTAAATATATATTATATATTTATTAAATTAAATAATTATAATATATTTATTAATATATAATATAAATGTTTAAAAATAATTAAAAATTAAAATTTAGTATTTTAAGAAATTAAATAAACTTATTGGAAATAATTTTAATAAATAAATAACTGTTAATTTTATTTTAATTTATATATAATATTTAATATTAAAATAGCTTATAAAAACTTTTGAAGATAATGGAACAATCAAACAGAAAAACTAAAACTAAATTAAAAATAAGGTAAATTAAAATTTAATAACTAAACTTAAAGTATAAAATAAATAAATAAAATAAATAAAATATAAAATTTTCGCAATTTATAATATTTTAATATTAATTTAATTTTTTAACTTTTTTTTTTTTTTTTTTTTTTTTTTTTTTTTTTTCATTATAAAATAATAGTAATATATATATATATATATATATTTGTTATTTTCAAAACTAATTTAAGAATGAAATAAAATTAAAAATAATTATTTATTATTAATAATAAATATTAAATTAAGTACATTGAAATGCATATATATTAATTTATTAATATTATAAATTATATTTAGAAGTTTTGCTAAGATTATATTGAATCAAACAAATTCACTTTTAAGTATTACAATTAACTTGAAAAATATTATTTATTAAATAAAGACAAAAATGAAAAAAGAAAATTAAAAAATAAAAAAAAAAAGAAAAAATAAAAATATAAATAAAATAATACTAGATAAATAAAAATTTAAATAAGAAAAAAAAAATGAAAAGATATTAATAAATAACTTTAAACAATTAATTTAAATAATGTAAAGTTTAATTATATAAAATTTAAGAAAAAATGTAATAATTTAGTAATATTAATAATTTAATAATATTAATAATAAAATTAATAATCCTAACCTATTGAAAAATTTTGCACTACAAAGATATAATAAAAAAGCAAGAAATGAAAGTTTAAAACAACAAGATCCGCATTGGTCCAGTGGCTAGGATTCCACGCTTTCACCGTGGCGGCCGGGGTTCGATTCCCCGATGCGGAATTACTTTTGATCTTTTTTTTTCTAGATTTTGATTAAATTAAATTAAAATTTAAATACATATATAGTATTTACTAATAAAATTAAAATCGATTATGATTAATTGCACTATTTACTATTTATATTATTTAGTTAATAATTTTAGCATAGTATATATCATTGATAACATTATTATCATATAATGATAATTTAGTATTGGTAGAAAAGAAAATTTCAATTAAAAATTATTAACTTGGACAGATGGCCGAGTTGGTCTAAGGCGTCACGTTAAGGCCGTGATCTATTCGTAGGCGTGGGTTCGAATCCCACTCTGTTCACTTTTTTACTAAATTTTGGTATCAATATTTCGTTCTTTTTTTTTTTTATTTTTATTTTTTTATTTCTATTAATACAAATAATAAATAATTTAATGGTAATGATAAATTAAGATATAAAAATGTTATATATTATTTATAATTTATATTTTATTTATTTTTTATTTAGTTATAATAAAATATATATGTAAGCAATTTTTAAAGTATTAGACGAAATTTTAAAAATTCTTAAATTAATAATAAAAGTTATGATAATCAAAATTAATAAATAACGAAAAATTAAAAATATAAATAAATATTTTAAAAAAAAATAATAAAAACAAAGACATAAAATAATAATAGTAATGTATTTAAGTTTTAATTACAATATAAAGAAATGCGTATATCAATATATAATTATATAATAAATATTTTAATTAAAATTCATAAATAATATTAATACTTATAAATACAATATAGAAAATAGTAATATTTTCAATTATAAAAAATTTATCTATTTTTATAGCTATTTATAATTCATGATATTATATTTATATGTAAACCTATTAATTAATTTAATAAAAATATTTTAATTAAATTTCTGAAAAAAATTTTTTTTTTTAATATAATATATAAATTTATAAATTAAAGTACTTAATTATAATTTTTTATTTAAAATATAAATATTTATTAATGATATTATTAAACCATTAAATTGTATCCATTTTATGATATATATTAAAATATATTCTTTAAAAATCTAGAGTTTTATGTTTAACATATAATAAGTATATTTTATATTGGTTCTCTGGCATAATTTTACAAGATCCTTCGATAGCTCAGTTGGTAGAGCGGTTGACTGTAGAATTATATAGTAATCAACATGTCACTGGTTCGACTCCGGTTCGAAGGATTTAAAATTTAGCGACCTTAGCTCAGCTGGGAGAGCGTTAGACTGAAGATCTAAAGGTCCCGTGTTCAAGCCACGGAGGTCGCATTTTTATTTAATTTTTTAAATTTTTAATTTTTATGCGTTTTCAGTATTTATTCATTTAATAGTACTTTTATATATATTTATTTATTTATTAAATTTATTAATATTAAAAATAATATGAAATTAAAAAAAAAAAAATTAAAGGTTAATATTATTATTAATTTTAATAATGTTTAATATTTTAATGAAAATTTATTATCAAAATTCAGATTTCTAATAATTATTAAATTAAAATTATTATCAAATTGTCAAGAAATTTTTTATATATAAATATGAAATTAGTAAAATAATTACTATTATTTAATGTTAATCTATATTGAATTTATACTTTTCAAACTTATATAAATAAAGTGATTTTGGCCGTTCTCGTATAGTGGTTTAGTATAAGTCGTTGTGGCCGACTCGACCCAGGTTCGAATCCTGGGAACGGCACTTTTTAGGTTTTTTCTTTTTTTTTGTTTCTTTAATGAATATGTCAAATAGAAATAGTTTAAAATATTTATTTACTTAATTATACAATTTTTAGATATATTATTTATTATAGAATATATAGAATACATAAAATATATAATATATATAATATATATAATATATATAATATATATAATATATATAATATATTATTTATTATGTGAAATTTAAGTATTAATTATTAACATTATTTATTTGCTTATTTTATATTAGACTTTTCTTTTATATAATTAATTAAAAATAAATACATTATTAAAAGTAATAAAAATTATAAAAATTAAATACAATCTTAAAAGTAATAAAAATTACAAAAATTAAATACAATCTTAAAAGTAATAAAAATTATAAAAATTACAATTTTAATTTATTTAGATAAAAAATTAAATAGATAAAACA